AATACATTTTAAAAGTAACCCTCACAACACTGCTTACCATCCATATAGGTCAGTGTGGTGAGGAGAGGTGCATCTGGAGAAATATAGGTGGTATACTGGAGCTCATCCATCAACGGTGGAGACAGCTGACCAGGAGCAAGTGATGTCATCATTGTTGACTGGGCAGGATTTGGGTTAATGTGCTTCTTTTGACGAGCTCGGCAGTTCTGAAACCAAACCTGTATGAAAGAAGCCTGGATTAATCGCTGGTCTTGGAGTGATGGTTTCCCTTGAAAGCGCAGGGGATTGTTTTTCACACAGAAAAATGTCCAGACATCAACTGTGCAAATACCCTGGATTTCTCACTATTCTCAACTTGAGGGCAAACTCGAACATTGCAAGTTCATTATGTTACTTGCTGGCATTTTAAATTCTGGATTTAGCTCCAGATTCTAACTGTTTACATTAATCCAACAATTAGCGCAAAGCAATGCACCAAAAGTTACACCTATGTTATGACCAGTTATGAAGAAATTTGACAGTTACTGCAAACTTTAAAATTCTTACAAAAATTGCCACCCACAGAATTTAATTATGACCCAAAATTTGTTCACTCCAACCAACTAAGTATGCATTATTTCAAAGGGACTGCTAAATTTGCTCACTTAATCCTGTGACACCTTATTGCAGGACCTCCCTGCAGTTGTTTAGTATTGTTGTTCAGGTCTGCTTTACCTGAATAACCCTGCGGCTGAGTCCAGTTCTCTCTGCCAGCTTCTGCAGCGTCTGTGCATCTGGGTTGTTATCTTTAGCAAACTGGGTCTGCATCACCTAAACAAGTGGAGATGACAGATGAGTAAATGTTTACATCACTGAAATCTAAGATGAGTTTCACTGTTATTTTAACAGACCATGGTAGCAGAGTGCTATGATGTTCAAATGCCACTAGAGGGCAGAAAAACATCAAATAAGCTGAACAAATATCACTGGCTTATATTGTTCTTTCCTCTGAACACACTCAGCAAACAGAGCCCCAGTAACATTCACTAGTCACCATACAATCATACACAGCCATCACTTTAATATTAGAACAGTAACTTAACAGTGTTCTCTCACAGAAGAACAAAGTATTCACTGGATATTAAAAATGCAGACATGAAAAAAGACAAAGTGCTATTATTTTAGTCACTCATGCTAGTGGTTGTACTTGTTGTGACACTTTTAAGTGTGAATGGTCTAATGGAAATGCAGGAGAAAAAGAAGAAAAAAAAAAGTGGACAACACCTGTAACTGGTCCACAGTGAAGCTGGTCCTGGCCCTCTTAGCTGGCTTGGGCAAAATGCTAAGGTCCTCTTTGTCTGCCATCTCTTCATTATTTGGTTGTTCTTTAAGAAAAACAAGATTAAAGGATATTTTAAACGACTGGTCCCATTTCAGATCAGATGCCCTGCGGACATC